CCCCCCCTGTCCCAACCCCCCGAAGTCTGTCCCCTCCCCATCTCCAAATTCTGTCCCCATCCCCATACTCTGTCCCCACTCCCCTGTCCCCAGCTGTAGAACTCCATCCCCATTCCCGTCCCCACTCCTCGAACTCTGTCCCCATTCCCCTGTCCCCAGCTACAGAACTCGGTCCCCATTCCTTTCCCCACTGGCCCCCTGCCCCCAGCCGCAGAACTCTGTCCCCCCAAAATGTATAATTATAAATGCTTCATTGTAGATTTAAATAGCATGATTAAAAAACAGACCATTTATTTCATAACTATAAACACGTGATTTTAATTTTATATATCGCATAATTTAAAAATAAACTGTTTATCAGAGTGTGTAAGTAAGGGTTGGGAATAGCAAGTGATGGACAGGAGGAGAATAGAGAGGGCAGGGCTTCAAGGAAGATCTTCACCTGTTCTGAGATTTAAAAAGTGATCTTCAGTGTAAAAAGGTTGGAGACCACTGTTCTAGGAGGTCAGAAGTACCTTGAGCAGGTAGGTGGCGCGCTCGCTGCACAGCGTTGGGGAGGAGCTTGGAGCTGATGTTAGCACCACATTTTCTTAGAGCTCTGCAGCTGTAAGCTGGGCACTTGTGCAGACCCCCAGGAGAGATTCGTATGTGGCCCAGCTGATTAGCGGAGCGCCCAGAGCCAGCAGTGTGTGTGTACCACCAATAGAAACACATGTCCATGCCTTGGTGCGCATAACAAAATGTATCCCGCGTATGGATGGGAACGCTCAGAGGAAACACTGCTTGGGAGGCCTGCGAGGAATGAGCAGGTGGGGAGGGGGAAATTGGTGTCTCAGTCTAGTTCAATCTAGTGGGCAAATTTCCATGGCAACGTCACCTGGGAAATTCCTGTCCCTCAGAGCCTGCAGGCCCAGGAGTGAGTTGGCCCATGGAGACTCCATTCCCCTTTTATCTCCAGAGCTGATCTCTGCCAGCCAGAATTGAAAAGCATGAATAGGTCCTTTGAGGGGAACGTGGCCCAGCCACCTTCTGAGGCTGAGCAACGCAGAGGGATTCTAACTCCAGGCCCACGAGAGCAGTGGCTCATAGCCAGACCTTACAGCGGGTCAGTAAATGAAATATCACCCTGGGGTGTGGTTTCTCCCCAGGTGTGAGGAGGGGCAGGCCCAGCAACCAGAGGAGATGTCTCCTGAACTGGAAGAGCGAATCCGTGGATTCTCCCAGAAAACTCTTGTGCTGTCGGAGACTCTGAGGACGTTCAAAGGTACCTAGAAGGGATCTCTGAGGGGAGACTCAGATACGCATCTGAGACTGTGGGAAGAGAATGGGTCTGGTCGGTTGGTTCATAATTAGATGATGCATCTGTGTCATTGTTGGGTGACTGTCATGTCTTTGGGTCCAAAACACTCAGGTGGATTTATTCAACCCCTTATTTACTGCCATATCAATTACTGTTGAAGTAAGAAATGACAGACCCACAGAAAGAAACACTGCCCAGTTCCCTTCTCCTGGGGCATAGAGGGGTCATGATACATTCCTCCTACGATGCTCCAACTGCCCGTTACAGTGCGTGGCATACTACAGTGTTTTTCAACCAGTGGAACAAGTACCCTCAGGGGTAAACGAGAGATGTCTGGGGGGATGTCAGCACAAACTGAAATTTGGAGAAAACTGAATTTTGGTTGTAAGTTTTACAGAGCTTTATTATTTTTGTACTTTTTAGACCTGTGGAATCAATCTTGCATGAAATGACAGCTACTTTACAAGTCTGAAGGTCACGTAGTTTGAAAGTGTGTGAGAGTGAAACTTTTATCATAAGAATGTAGATATGCTGGAAGTTTGCCCAGTAACTGAAAGCTTGCCCATTAACACGCATGCACCAAATGATAGTTTGTTGTGAAGCTTGCTACCATAAAAGCTTTTACAACCAAACTGAATTTTTGTTGTAAGTTTTACAGCGCTTTATTATTTTTGTACTTTTTACACCAAAAAATTTCATCGCCTGCCTGGCTATGATTAAGTTGTTTAAACAAATGTGTTGCAACGGTAGAAAAAAAAATTGTGTGTCTGAAAACCTGTAGGTACCAGGGGTACTTACAATTTTTTTTTAGAGGGGGTACTTTACTTTATAAAAAAAGGTTGAGAAACACTGAGCTAGGCAAATGTTTCTCTTATGTGAAGCAAACTGCTAACAAAGCCTAAGCCAGATCAGTCCGTACAGCCACACGATCTTAGACAGACCCAAATGTCTAAGAAATGACCCTAGCACCTTTTTGTATTAAACTAGCCCATTATTGACCAGGCAAAGTCATTTTGTGTAGAATACACTTATAGGAAAGTTTGAGAAATTCAGTATGTCATAGAATTTTGTATTCGTGTGCTTGCAAAAGGGCAGTAAAATCAGTTTCAAATTTGCAGGATTTCAACTTCCAACATTATTCATTTTATTGAAGAATTACCAGACATAGTAAATTTGAATCAGAAACTTGTAAAGTTCCCATTACTTTTTCCATAACTAATTTGAATGATGTTGTGACTTGTAACTGTAAAACTTTTCTTTGCACTACAATGACAGTTGAACAGATGACTTGGTTTTAATTTTGTGAGCAAATATTTTTGCCACTTAAGTTTGCGGAGTGCGTTGCTTTTTACATCAGAATATACTGGGTGAAAGGGTTAAATAATTTTTATTTTTCATCAGACAAACATCATGACTGTTATGTTAGCTGACGGCACTACTCATAAGTGGCAAGATGGTTTATGCAAAATTTGGTATCTGTAAATCATTATGAAGTGTGATTTTATTTTGCAAAAACAAATGCTTCAAAATACGTATATTCAATACCTGAGTGTGTGTGTTTGCTGTCATGATGAAAACCCAGCTCTAGGCATTCAGAGTAGGAACACTGTTACAGACATGAAAACCTGAACTCTCACCTCTCTTATCCTTTCCCCTGCAGACACTCTGCCGGCAGAGAGATAGGGGCAGCCACTCGGAGGACACAGACCAGGTGAGACTGTAGGCTCTTTCCAGCCTAGGCCTCCCTCTGTGGCCCCACCCCTGTTCCTCTTCTCCTCAGGCCCTACCCCTTGGCATGGCCAGAAGACAGAACTCAGCTATTACCCGTCTGCCTTACCCTGGTGCAGAGGTCTCCCCATTGCTCTTTTTCCCCCATCCAGCTTTTCCTGTGGACAGGGCTGGGCTCTCTCATTGGAGCTGCTCCCTGCCTTGGGGAGAAGCTCCCCAGGATGCTGGCAGCTCCTCCCTTCTCCCTGGGTTGGGGCTGGGGCTGCCCCACCCAATGTTCCCTCACATACCCTACCCTTCCCTCCCTCCCCCACTCTCTGGGGTTAGGCAGCTCTTCCCCCACGCTACACCTTCCCCTCTGTGCCTTGGCCTGGGAGTGGAGGCTGCAGTAGGGGAGGGAGTTTCCGTCTGGGGGGGTTTAAAGCTGGTACCTGCCTCCTGTTCCCACCTCACTAAAAGCTGCTGACACCTTCTTGGCTGTGTGTCTGCTGCTTGGAATTGAGTAGCCCCAGCAGGGGGAGTTGGGAGCTGAAGAAACTACAGTGACCTCTCTGCTCAGCCTAGGGTTGCCAGATACTTTCACAAAAATACCGAACATGGTGAGGAAAAAAAATTGGTTGAGCAAAAACAACAAAAAAAGGGGGGGGGGATGTCAAAGTTGTTGATCAAGGGGAAAAAAAAAAAACACCCACGCAGATCAAGGGGAAAAAAAAAAAACACCCACACACAAAAAAGGAGTCACTGCGCCTTTAAATTCCCGCTCCTCCCACCCCCACCAAACATGGCAAGGGAGAAATGTCCCAAGCGGCCTTCCCTCTGAAAAAAACAGAAAATACTGGACAATATTCAAGGAAAAAAAAAAAATACCAGACATTTTATGCTGGGCATTTTAAATGTTGGTTTTTTTTTTTTTTTTTTTTTTTTTTTTTACTGGACAGAGGCCTCAAATACGGGACTGTTGGGCTAATACCAGACACCTGGCAACCCCCTAGCTCAGCCTCAGGTGCCTGGGATCCAGGCCTGTCCCAGCCAGAACAGGGCTGCTGGGGAGCATGAGACAGTGTCCTCATCTCCCCCAGGGCTGAGCTCTGCCCCTCATGCTCTGATTCTTCACCCCTCCCCAGCGAATGTGACTCTGGATCCGGACACGGCGAGTCCCCAGCTCCTCCTGTCTTGGGATGAGAAACGTGTGAGCTGGGAATCTCCGTGGGACTGGGTGCTCAGCAACCCGGAGAGATTTAGCCTTGTGCCTTGTGTGCTGGGCCATGAGGGGTTTACCTCGGGGAGACATTGCTGGGAGGTGGAGGTGGGGGATGGGCCATACTGGGCTGTGGGGGTGGCCAGAGAGTCTGTGAGGAGGAAGGGATGGATCACATTTAG